ATATGTATATACACACACACAGTATAATATACATGTACATTACCTATATTGTAATATTTTATATGTATATATTACTACATATACAGTATTTACTATATCATGAATGCATGTATGTATATGCATCAATGCACAGAGCTGGTATGACTGACTCTTCAGGTATATTAGGCTTCCTTTTCAGTCTGGGACAGCATCAGGACAAATGGACTGGGGGGGCCGCAGTCTGGCTCTTCCTGAGACAGAAGAGTGATCTGCGTCCCCCCACCCCGCCGGCTCCCCCCGCCGAAGAATGAAATGACGAGGAAGTGCAGCACCACACTGATGAAAGCTCAGGACTCTTCCATTGTCTGGGCCTTTTCTTCTTTTGAGAAACATATTGTGGCAAAGGAGGCCAGCTGTCTGTGTCTGCATAGCCGTCCATCTCCGGAGACGAAGTGGCGTCTGTGATGCAAAAAGAGCCGTAATTAGGAGGTGTGCAGGCGTTCAGTACAGAGCTCCTTCATCGACCCCTTGTTGTCTCCTAAAGCCCCACATCCTTCCCACCTAGATGCTGAGGTCTTTTTGGTAGATGTCACAAGTGAGTTTGGGCATCTTTAAAAACACTGAAGTACGCATGTTTAAACTTTCATTCAGTGTGGCGTCGTTTTTTCTTACCACATATTTTAGCAAACCCTGCTGACCTTGACTAACCAAGTAAACTGTCCTATAGGTGTAAACCGAGCAACTGTCTTTTGCTCCATGTAACGAACTGCAAGTGATGGCAGAAACACCTGATCTTTCAGAATCCTCCAGATAACCTGGCAGCCACGTTCCCCGGTGGCAACTGTCATGCCCCGCTCCGTCCGATCCTACTGTGTGCCACGCCCCCTCGTTAACCTCATGTGGAATCCCAGTGTTTTACAGCTGTTTCGGATTGTTGTCATTAGTTCAGTGTATTTAGTCCGCGTTTCCGTTTGTATCCCCAGTCCGGTCATTGACGTTGTTTTGTTGCGTGCTTTGTGCTCTGTGTGTTTGGCATTAAACTCCGTATTCCCCGATCCCTGGCTTCCGTTCGCCTGATTCCCCGCTCCGTGCGGCACGCGCCGTAACAGCTACGATAACATTATTTCATCTGCAATAATACTACTGGGTTCGCTGTCTCACAGGAATATGGTAATATGGTTATGTTACAACGTGAAAAGTGCATAGTTCTGTGCGTTAAGCTGAAGGATCAATCAGACACACACTGTGAAACCTTCAGATCAGCTACATCAAATGATGCAGGTCCAAGGCCATGAAGATCATTAAGAATCGCAGCCATTCCAATGCCCTCTTCTCTGTGCTGAGGTCAGGGAAACGCTGTGGCACCGCCTGCAGGCAGCTCAGAAAGGCCAAGGAAGAGCATTTTCCACAAGCAACTGGGATCCTCAATGATGTGTAATCAGTGTTCCAACAGCCTACTCAACATATGCATGTACAGCTTACATACGTAAATGTCCACTTATTTATAAGACTCTACCACTTGATATGAATGTGAATTATGTGAAATATAATTTATGTGAAATAATTTCACATACATGTTAAACACAGTAGATCATTCACAGTATTTATTATGAATTATCATAAATAAAGAATGCTCTGCTGTACTTGCCAGCGACTATGAGCTTTTATACTGTATAAATGCTGCGGAGCAGTAGGCCCACATGCATGGGAGAATAGTGAGGCAAGACCGAGACCTTGCAGCTATGGTGTAATGATGTCCAGTACCTCTACAAGTGTCTTTTATTAAATGGACTTCCACTGATACATAATAAATTGGCGACAAGGATGGTGTGTTTTTCTTAGCATCCGCCTTCTGCTTTTCTGGAGTGTCCAGGAAGACCTAAACTTACTTTTACTGTGTGGAAAAAAAACCTTTTCAACAGCTTCATACTAACCACCGGTGAGGAAGAGCCTTCCGACGTGCTGAAAATAGCTCTGTTCATTTATTGCTTGGTAACAGGACAGCATATTTACAATAATTTGTGACTAAATGCAGATACTTATGAAGGCAGTATGAGAATTCTGGAAACATTTTTCAACCCAAGAGTGAATGTCGGTGCAGAGAGGTATTGGTTCAGACAATGTGCTCAACAAGTTGGACAGTCTACAGACCAATATGTCGCAGCGTTATGTCAACTCGCTACTTTCGGTTTCAGAGGTTTACAAAGTAAAATGAAACATGACCAAATTGTTGAAAAAACCTGTGTACTTCACATATGCAAACAACTGCTGCTTGGACAAGATTTAACGTAGGATAAAAGGCTTGTACTAGCTAAACAAACTGAATCTGAAATAACTGAAGCAAAAATAAAGACCACAGGGGATATGAAGCATGTGAATGCTGTGCAGACACAGTACATTAAAAAGCATGCTGTACAACGCAAAGACAGACCAAAGCGAAATGACAATGTCATCAGTTACTACCTATCACTATCGCTGTGACTGTCAGCCATGTTGCAAATCGCTCATTCTGCCTTGCTAAATTTGCAAAATGTAAAGTGTGTGGTAAAAATGGAAAATTTTAATAGTTTGTCATTCTGCATCTAAAATGGTGAATGAAATCACTGTACTTGAAGGGACAGTGGTCAGTGTGCACAGAAATGCCTGATGTGCAGTGTGTATACTGCTGCTTCACACAACCAACCCTGTGCCACTGGGTTTGCAGTTTCTATCCTTCCTGAACATGTTTGCAGAGACAGTTTCCTCAAATACACATTAACTAAACGACAAGCACAGCTGGTGACATACGCAAGACAGAGGTGGGATGTCACAGGATGTCTTACTGCTGAAGTTGCATGTTAGACAGAACAGCATGTACTAAGTTCTTCATTGTGAGACCTAGAAGCTCAATCTGAGGAATGCATTTGGTGATTGGACTCCAAATTTCCGGAGGTTAATCTGTTCCGGAAACTCCACTTACCAGTATTACACTTCAGCCTAGGTCCAGTCCTCAGGAGTTCGTATAAAGTGATTGTACATCCAGATGTTGCACCTATTCAGTGAAAGCTGAGATGCTTACTCATCTCAGTCCGAGACGCGGTTTCTGCTGAACTCCAATGCCTGGAACAAAATGGGATCATTGAGAAGATTTATTCTTCTGAGTAGGCTTCACCTAGTAGTTGCCCAAAATAAGACTGGAGGTATATGTAGGCATCTGCTCGGGTGCTCGAGATTGACTACGATGTTTAGTACAGAGCAGTAATGAACAGCACTGTCCATACAAAACGCCTCAGAGAAGTGTATTGGTGGCTGTTTATTGACTTGTAAACCAAAATACTGGGTGTTTCTCAATACCAAGATTGCAAAGATTGTACTTGTGGTCTTGGAAAGACCTGTCCTGCTAACTTACTTCCCAAGAACAAACTTGGGATACAATGAATCATGGGATTAGTCTCATTTGGGGAGGAGCAAGAACGACATCTGGGGATTTTTACCGTCCTCTGTATTTCTGTTCTTGAGTATTGGAACTGGTCTTCGGAAATGGAAGATGACTTGAAACAGGGGGGTCTGCAGTCAAAACTAACCCTCAAAGTACTAAAGAACACAAGACATTCCTGTCCCGAAAAGAGAGAATCAGTGCTGTAAATGTGTCTGAGAATTGGGGGCTTTTAGGGTTCTGTGGTCAATTATAATTCAAAGCACATTTAAAGAGACAGGTCAACAAATCTGGGAAGGTCTGAGGACAGGCATTAGTGGCAGAATAGCTATTATAGCTATTTGAGGTCTTCGAGGTTTTTGGTAGGCATGGGTAGGGATAACCGGGATTCATTAATCACTGTTTTAAAGATGGACTTTTTGTGTTTCACACTTACCTATGGAAAAGTGATTTCCAGCTCCTGTACGCCAACCTGTGGTGGGACATTTAGAGCTCGAGGAACAAGGGACTCCTGCATGTCCTTTCTGAAGGACCAAGCTGGACTGCCAGCAGGCCAGGCAGAGGGTGGCAGCATGATGACAGTGCTGAGACTGTCCTTGCCACCGTGAGCGATTTGCCATGCACTCCCATGAGCTGTAATTCATCCTAATTCATCTCTGGGAAAGGACTCCACAAAATCCAAGCAGACATTGTCTCTTTGCCACGTTTGCATCGGACTGGGCCAATTTCACTGTAAACAAAAGTAATTATAGTGGATGTGTTAGATGATGGAAACGAGACAGATTCGGCCTCCTGTGGACAAGGCTGAAGCTCTGTGGAGCAGAACAGTTTAATTAGTGGAGACTGCACCATGACCGTGGAAGGAGATGGGGAAGAAAAACAAAAATAGCTGTCTAATTTTCCGCTACCGGACCAGCAGGGCTGAATTCGGTTTCGCACAAGGCAACCTTGGCCTTCTCATTAACCTTTCAGACGTAAAGGTTCTTCCTCTGCAGCCCTGTTATCCCCACAAATAAAAAATATTCCCGATGAGGGCTGTGCTCCACTCTTGTGAGTTGTTGGGACTTTAAATTGGCTGCAATGGACAGTGTTTATACCGCAGTGTGACGTGAACATGTGACTGGCCGATAACACTGGAATTAATGGAGCTGTGGGATTCCAGCACTGGAATATTTGATCGTGCTTTTCCTCCGAAGCCGAGCGGCAGCTCTTGACCCGGGCGCCCTACAATAAAACCAAGTCAATAACATTGATTGTTTCTTGAGGTAAACAGACATCTCCCTGTCAAACGTAATAACAGCATTAAGCAGCACATGCACACACACAGCCTGAAGCCTCATGCTCTCTTGCGTTAACATGCCACCAGTACAAACAATCGATGTGGCATCTATAGCATGAAAAAAGCTCAAATTTAAATGAAGTGTTGCTAATGCTATTATACTCCATCTATTTTGCATGTATTCAGTACTTGAGCTTACCTCAGATAATACAGGGCATACAAAGGGGCTGCGGCCTGGACAGGTCCATGACAAGGTGGGGACTGTAGGGTGACATACACAGACAGAGGGAGAGCATGTAAACAGCACAGACACAGACAGAGGGAGAGCATGTAAACAGCACAGACACAGACAGAGG